AGTAGGTAGTAGGTAGTAGGTAGTAGGTAGTAGGTAGTAGGTAGTAGTAGTAGTAGTAGTAGTAGTACTAGTTGTTGTTGTTGTTGTTGTAGTTGTAGTTGTAGTTGTAGTTGTTGTTGTTGTTGTTGTTGTTTTGTTGTATTGTAGTAGTAGTAGTAGTAGTAGTAGTAGTAGTAGTAGTAGTAGCAGGAGAAGGAGGAGTAGGAGTAGGAGTAGGAGTAGTAGTTGTTGTAGTAGTAGCAGTAGTAGCAGCAGTAATAGTAACAGCAGCAGCAGCAGCAGCTGTAGTAGTAAGCTGTTGTTGTGGTGGTGCGTGAAGGCATGTTAATTCTTGTTGACATACAGGTGCACAGCCGTGCAAACGGCCAGCGTGTACAAACAATGGTGACAAGGGACCACCCTTGGCCAACCTGCCTTACCGATATCCTCTGTACTTTTCAGCCCACACAATCCGAGGCACGGCAGCACACGCACGGTGACCTGCTGATTCCTGGTCGGACTGGATTGAAGAGGATCGAAAATGGACGTGAGACGAAGGAAAATAACGTCAATCTGAATGCACGTTGCCGGATGTTCAAGGCATGCGGAACGCAAAAACCTGTTTTGGAAGGCGATGGACAACTTCCGAGCTCTCCTCTCCAATGGAATCCTGTGGAATCCTGTGGAATCCTGTGGAATACCTTTACTTTTGAGGTAGTGATCTGCACTGAGCATTACAACAGCACAGCTAGTAGGCAAAGATAGGAAAAGAATCAGCAATGGGATTGTGACGAATCACTAATAAGGTACAAACACAGTAAGTTCTTCACGTCTGACATCCACAGCTACCGGGTGCCCATTGGGGCGCTTGACTTCTTCGACCATTGGTCGTGTACTTCACTGCCATTGCCGGCGATAGGTCAACGGTGCTTGCCACCGGGGAAGGTCAACTAAAATGGTTGTGGCTCGTCCACCAAAAGCAAGACCAGAAACACCATCAGCCTACATTACCACACTTTGGACAAACCTCTCAGAATTCTCGCCAAACCTGTCCAAACAGCTTCCAGTACCACACCTGGTTGCCACCTCTTTTCGCCTCTTTCCCCACTTCTTCATCACTCTCCCGTGGCCGCCTCTGCTGCGCAGCCACCGCGGCCGTCTCCGCCAAGGCTGTGGCTTCCGCCGCACGCGCCAGGTCTGCCTCAGGCTGTGGCTTCTGCCGGTTGGAGGGCTGAGTAAACAGAATTTGTTTGATCCACACCCCATTGAGTGAGGATGCGGATATGACACACACGCCGTACCGTTCCGGACATTCGACGTCGTCTCTTTTCATCTTCCGACGGGTTCCGCTGGGGGTAGCACCTGGGTGTCGGAGAGGATGCGAAAGAGCTCCTCATAAGCACCTGATGGCTGAGTTCAACTGGTACTGAGTTCTGTTGGGGTCTCACACAGGCTCAGTGATCAAAACATGGGACAACACAGGCTCGATAGGTGGCTTCTCCTTGTGGATGGTTCACCCTCAGAACAGTCCTGGGGGAGTTAGTCCTGGGGTTCCGTCTGGGCTTCGTCGGCGACCGCGGAATTGCTCCCTGAACATCCCCCCATGAGACCGCTGGGCACTCAAACAGAAATAAAACAGGTCCAACTTCTGCATCGGACCTGTGCAAAGGAGCATCAAACATTGATAGTTCAGCAGGTGAAATAACACCTGCTGATCCTTCCTTTCCGGCAGATTTCTGGCTGAACATAGCCCCATCTCTGCTCTAGCTTCAAGTTCTAAGATCCTTCTTTGCCTTGCAGGGCGTGCAAGAAGCACAGCCCGATGCGCACCCATGCCCGATGCCCCATGCCCGCTCGGCCACGCGACGGGCATGCTGCCAGCTCCGGAAGGTCTGCCGTCGGTGGTCGGATCGGCCGGACGGGGAAGAACATAGCCTTCTTGCAAACACGGGTCCAGCCATGTATTAAACATGTGCTAGTAATTTACGTACCAGACCTGGAAGATCCTGGAAGGGTAGCCAATTGGTTTGTTTGGGTAAAGGGTGTCTATTAACCACCCCTTAGGGTCCAAACAACATCCCTTGGGGCCTTGGGGGTCTCCTGGTACTTATTTCTGTATGCTCTGATAGTTTCTTATGTTTCTTGTCCTAGTCTTTTTGCTCTCGAGTCTTTGCTAGTGAGGCATTGAGTATCTGTATGTGTCAGCAATTCCACATCTTTGTTTGATTCTTCAAGCCATTCAATCCTTTTGGCTACAAGATCCGGTTTCACAAGCCGTCATACTGGAACCTCTTAGACTGCACTTTGAGTTTGCCTTCCTGATACATGTGGATCCAGCTTTCAAACCGTAGATCCCTGTCGATCCCACTCGGACCGCACACCGATCACCGGACCGACCGTGCCCCGGCCGGAGGCCTGCTGCATGAGCCATGCCGACCGCAGCTGAACAGTGCAGTTCTCCGCATACCTGGGGAGAACAGGATCGGTTCCTGTCTTTCTTCTGAATCAACCCATCCGGTCCTTCCCGGCCCCCCACAACCCGCGGCTCCTCCGATGAAGTCACGTCTGACTGGACAGAAACCCCCTTGTTTCCCATCAAACGGACCAGGGCAGGAATCTTCCAGGGAACATGGTAGTACATGGTAGTCTACCGTACAGGTGCAAAGACCAAGTAAAACCTGGTCCTTTACATCATTGAGTTGCGTTTTTGGTATGACCAACCAGTAAAATGATGTCTTTGAGTCTTTGACCTGTAGTCTACTGGTTCTTCTTGCCTTCTTACTGCCAGCTAGACTGTTCCCGATTCATTTGCGTTGGTGCCATCAAAATTGGGGGGTCCCAATGGTCCTTTTGGATGTCGAAATCCATCAAATTGGGCAATTAGACCGTTCATTTGAGGATGGTCCAATTTGAGTGTTGCTGGAGGTGCCCTTCGAACGCACCGAAATGGACGGTCTATCTACAATAGAATATTGATAGAATACCCCAAACATCCAATGGGTGTCCTGGCTGTCTCCACTGGACACCCAAACAGAATGGTCCGGGTATACCCTTATCTTGAGTTATACACTTGCTTAGTTCTGACACACCGGGCATTTGAGGATAGCTGCATAGTCACTCTGCAGTGCTTCATTTGGACGATATACGGGTTCTATGTCGGCTCCAAAGACTTTCGGATTGCATGCTCTCGTGAGGATTGTGCAAAGATGTGCAAAGTATATAGTGCCACTTGAGTCCCACTTGACTTGCCTCGTGAATCTCATCGTTATTCTTTTTTCCAGCTGCGCACTTGAACCAACATGAACCAACTATTTCCCCTGGAACCGTGGGTTGTCAATCTCCAGAAGGAGCGTGACACAAACCACTATACAGAATGAGGTGATGGACTCGATTGCACGGGGCTCCTACAATCCAAAACCAGAACACCTCGACAACCTCAGCGGTCTTTCGCAAATTTCCAGTCAGAAGACTTGCGGCACCGCTGGAGTCGGGCATCATGCCTCTCCTGCGAGGTGAAACAGGTGCAATACTGCGTTCAGCGGCTTTTGGCTATCACCCTTAAGCAAATTTAACATGTTCGAGGTGTCCGCCAGCATGTGAGCCCAAGCTATGAAGCTCATCGAAGCTCTTCTGCATCAAACTCATCAAACGGGATGACTCAAAGGGTGGTTGAAAAACTCCACTCTCTGGGATCTCAGGGTTTGCTTGATCGAACATCCGGGAAGATCAGTGCTGCTCCATGCTGTCTACACTTGCTTGTCCTTCTCAGATCCATCAAGAAAACCTCGAATCACTCCACCAACACGAGGGGAGATCCACCCAGTTGATCCCTTCCGCATCCCTGACCCAATCCGCCCGGCTCCGACCAATCCGACCGTCCTGCCCGGCCACCCAGCGCCAGTGCAAACACATCCGCCGCAAAGCGCGCTGCCGCTGCCGGTGTCCCAGGACTGAGGCCCAACGCCTCGAGTCAATGCAGGAGGATTGGAGTCGAGTCAATGCGGTGAAGAGCTCGAAAGAATTGAAAAAACAGAAACAAAAGCAGGAAGGAAGCAAGGAAGGAAGCAATGGATTTCGACTTCGAGCAGCTCAAATGATGTTGCTCTTGACTTTGCAATACCGCAATATCATATGGGCCCACCCAAAAGTGTGATGAAAAACTGTACGTGATCCTTATCTCAGGAGGTGCAGGAGTTCTTCCATGTTTACTTCTTACAAACATTTAAAATATTTACAACCCCCCCAGGATTCAAACCACCGCTTAAAATAGCCTGAATCCCAAATAACCATTGTTTTACTAAGGATTTGGCACCAAACAACAGGTCTCTCCCATGTTTCGCGCTGGTCGACTGTTCTTTTGTCGCCTCCGAACGCCTCGCGCGTTCACCAGCGCCCGAGCGCCGGTGAGCCTGGCAGAAGCGATAGAAGGACCATCCAATGTGAGGGTTCTGAAGCACTTGGGTCGCAACTTGGGTAGTGTATTATACAGTACCGATGGCCTCCACCCTAGTAGCTTGGGTAGCAGTACTTTCAGGACTTCTGGCATGGCCACAGAAAAACAAAACAACTTGCCCCCGTCAAAGGTCCAGGTACAGTAGCAGCTGATCTCGCCTGCTCCACTCAATCTGAAAAGCTCCACCTGATCCAGGTCCACCGAATTTCTTCCTGCTGTTCCCTGGCTCCCCCTCCAAACCTGGCTCCAACCAACCTGGCTGCCAAACGGCACTCCAACGGTGCACTGTCCAGGACTGTCGTCCACGGTCCCCGTACCGCGCCAGGCGCGGCAAAGGCTTCGGAGCTGCGCGCGGAGGTTCCGGAGCTGCTCAGCTTGTAGGGCCTCCAAGGCCTACCAGAAGCGAGGGAGTGGACGCCACGTGATTGAAAACGGGATGGGTGAGTGGTGTGTGGCACGGTAATCAATTTTTTTGGGGGGTTGTTATTATTGGAGTGGTTGTTGGTGATTTATCGTCTTTCGTGAGTTCTGTTGGCAAGAACGCAGAACGCAATGTGAGACTGCTTATGATATCTATGTGCGCAGCGATGCTCATCACTATGCTTATGATATCTTATTATATAATGTGCTTCTATCCTGGTGTTCCTGTTTTTAGTCTATAGTTCGTTCCCACAAAAACACAACGGCTTGGGGGACATTGGGGTGACCACAGGGTTCTGTTGTTACATCTTCCGAGACGAGAGGATGTTTGGCAAAACCGTTTGTATGAACCAGTTATTAATATATATATATATATTATATAGCTTTTGAGAAAGGAGGGATGGAGTTTGAACTGGAACCTTTATGTTGATCAGCACAATGAAGATCCAAGGATCGTCAAGTTCAGCGAACATTTTGGCGCACTGTAATCATTCCACTACCTTCCACTTTCTACAGCCGTACCACCCTGGACGCACTGGGTGCATCAAATTCATTCGGCCTCAGGCAAAACGCCAAAAAGGCAAATAGAAAAGTCGTCCAAAGCCGCGCCCTTAAGAGCACTCTTGTTCACTCCAAAGCCTTAAGAGCTGTTCACTTGATTTTAAGAACAACGTTTTTTGGTGAACAAACTCACCCCAACCCTCATTCAACATCTGCGCAAGACACAGCGCCCACGTCGAGGCCCGATCGGCCTTCTTCCAACCGTCGGCCATCTGACGCTGAACGATGCGAGCTCCCTGCACCTTGAGAAGACCAACGTCACACGTCTACTTTGAGTGCTTCTACTGAAGAACGACAGTGCCAGCACCTCAAAGAGGCAAAACTAGGCAAATTAAACAGACAAAGGCTCGATCAAACACTGAGTCTTGCTAAATAAATATTCACATATAATATATTATTAACATATGGCTGCGTTTGTCATGGTAGTTTGTTTGGTTGTTACTCTTCGGACCAAAAACAGATTCTTTGACTGCCAATTGACTCATTGACGTATACTGACAGGAGCTACTAGTAGCTTCTTGTTTCTAGTAGTAATGCCCTTGTTACTAGTAGCGATGCCCTTGTTCCTAGTAAAGTAGCGTCCTTGTTCCTAGTAGTAAGGCCGTAGCATCCTTGCTCCTGGTAGCGATGCATCGCGCCCTTGTTACACATCCAAATGTTCTTCGCACCCAAAAACACACACATCGCGTATGCGCCTGTCGCTCGGTGCGTTCAAGCTCTCGCTGGTGACGTTCCCGGGTGGCCTCTTTTCATGCATTTGAAAGCGGCTGTTGGACGCGGAATTGGTTATACCAGACCTTTTGGGCTGACTAAATCAACATCACAACACCACCTTCAGGCACCAAAGCATCCCAAAACCACGAACAACCTCATTGTTTCCTTATTAAGCGGGTTTTGACTGACAAAAAAGAATATTATGCATTATTTACGTATAGATTGTAGATTTCAGTAAGGCATCTTGGGCGTTTTCTTTGCAAAGTTCAAACCCTCTACAGTATATATATATATATATACGAAAAATGTATGTGATGAGAGGCGATCCAAAACCAAAGTGCTACCTCAGGTCATCATAACCCAATATCATTGCTATCCTTTCCATAAACTCGAAGCACAAGCAGCACAGAGTTCGCAACGACTTTTGAAAATAACAACTCACCATGGTACAGGCTCAAAATCAACGACTTTCGCAACGACTGAACCCTATTTGGGAGTATGCAGGTCTCATAGGTCAACCCCCCTCAAAGTCTCCGGTATTGACCCATGGGAGTGCCATGTTTTGCATCTCGCATGTCTGATTTTTCAGCCTTTCCACCCACGCAAAAAAACACATCCACTTTCAACTTACAGAAGAACTCCTGAAACTCTGGGTGACTGTGTCTCGCTGGCACCTCTGCTTTGAAGATCGAGAAAACCCACTGGCACCTGAGTGCCGGAGACGAATTCGGCGCTTCGTCCGCGCAGTCTGACGACCCGCGAAAAGCGGGACTGGCTGAGCCAGTCGGTCAAACAGTTCAGGTGAATCCTCAGTCTGAATCTGTTTCAATCATGCAGGACACATCAGGAAACAGTGAAGTGAAGTGAGACACAGTAGTTAGTGACTGGAGAGGGAACCCTTATTCACACCCAATTGTAAGGATGGATCCAACACTTGAATCAAGTCATACGGGCTGTGAGCATTTCAGTCTTTTTGTACATGGTGTTTGTGTGTAACTCCCAGGCCTTGTGAATCATCCACTCTGAGCTCTCGTGAGCTAAGGATTTGAACGTAGCGCAAGGTATGAGTGACTGTATCGTAAGCATGTGCAACATATATACTGGAACAATCTCAATAAACTTATTCATTATCAGCCTCCTTGTCCCCCACATTTCTTGGTTGAAAGAAGTATCAGATCTCATTTGGCAACCCAAAAAACCTCTCCAGCCCCTCCAAATCTTGAATCTTGCTCAACCCCCCATGCAGAGTGGAGTCCAGGTTCTTTCGAAGTTGGGCACAAGCTTGCGCCATCGTCCGTCCTCAAAAGAAGGAACCACCAGGAACCTCGAAAACCGCAGCACCGCGCGGTGCAAATGCGTCCCAAAGAACAGCTCCAGCTCCTCCCGTGCCACTTCACGCATGGTGCCGGTGAAGGCGCGCTCCTGCCCAGCGGTCTGGAAAATAGGGTGGTTTTTGATCAGAGTCCTTCATGTTGGCAGGGTTTGGAGACCCAAAAATGCCAGTGACCCATGCAAGAATTGTGGGACTGGTCGCACCCAGGAGGGTTCTGGATGAACTCCATCCCCCTGAGGCCCCTCAGATCCAAAAACAAACACTCCCGGTGCATTGCTACTAGAGGTTGGAGGCCATCGCTACTAGGTTGGAGGCCACTGTTACTATTGGTTGGAGACTGTTACTATATAGGTTGGAGGCCATCGCTACTAGATTGGTGGCCACTGCTAAAATAGGTTGGAGGCCATTGCTACTAGGTTAGAGGCCATTGCTATTAGGTTCCTTTTGCGCCACCCCTCCCGGTTGCACCCTCGTCCGTTCGGCGCTCCTTCAACCGACGCCGCGTCGACCGGATCGACGTCTCCACGCGCCACCTGGAGGCGACGGCGGCGATGCGGTGGGAGATGAATTACGGGGCACTCGGATGGAACCCCCTGACATTATGATACAGTAAGTTGAACTTTATAATGTGTCTTTCATAGATGTTGCTTGTGATAGAGGATCTTGAACTCATTTCATTCTGATAGCTGGTAAATTGGTCATAGATCCTAGTGGTGTGTTACCTGGTTGTGTCGATCGTCTAGATGACCGATCTTATGACCTTCCTTTGCCACCCCCTGGGCGATCCTCCGATCAAGTTGTTCATGATGGGAAGGCCACCGCAAGCCTGGTTGCTTTAGTTATAAGGTATAGGTTATAAGTTACAAGTTGTAATATGATTGGTCACAGAAGCAGCTGGTCCACCCAAAATCTCTGGCTCTTCAGTGCTCTTCATCTGGCTGTAAATGGTTCGTGTTCACCCCTGCAGCGTCCATGGCTCAGCTCAAGTCCTTCATGGCGACCGTCGGGCCCGTCACTGTTCTTCTGGGGCCCATCGGCAATGGCCCAACATCATCCACACATGGTCGCATAGCCAGGCACCGGCACCCGATTTCTAAAAATCACCCTTCTGCAGCCTTTGGGCCTTTGGGTGTTGCTTCGGTTTTTTCTCTTATCGCGAAGTTGGAACCCCCAAGTCAATCATCTGGTCAAGCCGCGGCAACATTCGCACCAAGTCAATCATCTGGTCAAGCCGCGGCAACATTCGCACATCTGCATGGAAAACCCAAAAGTTCACCCAGGCACTTCTCTTGGACAGTTCTTTTGCTTCATGAGGAACCCATCGAGGAGCCGTGTCTTGTGGGACTGCGTTGCCAAAGGGGGTCCTTCAGAGTTAGATACTTCATAAAATGCCTCTGGCACGGAGGGAGTAGACCTGACCTTATTCCGCAACTCATTCTTAAATGATGCTCACCAACTCAATGTCTTGCGGGCTGTCAGCTGAGTGAGACGCTGCCACCGCTGCAGTCTGAGTATTTGCTGGTGAGGGCTTCCTGAAAGCAAAGCCGGCAAGCTAGTTCTGGTGCTGATTCGTTGGCAATGCCATGCTGCTCTTGCCCTTCTTTCCTTCTTTCGCCAGTCATGAACACGAAGACCGTTCAGAACATGTTTGCTTCCCTCGTGTGACATGCTGGGGCGAAACCAAGCTAAACAGTGGCTGTAAAACAAAAACGTTCAAACATGTTCAAACGGTTCAATCGGTTGCAGACAGTCTATGGTATAAACCTCTGGAGTCCGCCAGATCCGGTGTAAGATCCAGTCCACACGACCGCCACATGCAGATCGAGTTGGCGGTCAACTCGAATGAAGTGTGTGAGGTGTCAACAGCGACACCTGATGATTGTTACGTATCAATACGTATTTATTTTTAGTTATATATATATAGTGATGTTTTATCTATATAGTGACAAATCTGTGTGGAATTCCGCTTTGGCCACGCCAAGACCGTACCCGTTGATGTTTTCATGTTCTCTCTTTCGTGCTGCAAGACTGTACGCAGAGCTGCATCTGATGGATATGATATTATGGCTACATCGTTTGTATACCTAGATCCACCTGGTGGACGCAAAAAGTACCGCTTTCCATCGTGTGAAAAAATTTGTGGAAAATTGCCGTCATCCAGGAAAAAAACACCACCATAAAAACATAACGCCACACTCCATATATGGGGAAGGATGGTGCATGTCTCCTCCACACCAGGCTCAAGGATACTTACTCAGCTAGATTCCCACTCACCTCCACGATAACGTCATCGCAATCCCAAATCCCTGACCGCTCTACGATTCCCATTGCCAAATTTACCCAACTATACCCAACTTCTGGTACTCAGGGTCATTCTCCAAGGTCATTGTGCAAGGTCTGACAATTGACCACCCCCTAACAACAGTCGTTGTGCTCATTATGCTACACCCTGATAAGCCAAGCAATCTCAGTGGTCCATGGTTGACAAATGTTGCCAAAATCTGATTACGGGAATTTATGCCGCCATTACGCGGATTTACGCCACCATTTCTTCCGGCAAATTTCGTCAATTTCACGCAACACGTATCAAACTCAAGAACACAATTCCGAATTTTGTGTTGAATGCTCATCACTATGTTTCAGGGAGCTCTGAACCACGAAAACAAATTATGAAACACTGGTTGGTAGTCTTCCGGAACGACCAGCCGTTTCGAAGCTAAAACATAGTTCAAGCACTGCACCAATTCCGCATCTTCCCAAAGGTCACCGGTTGGTATGTTGACAGGAAGTTCACACATTGGGGTGCGTTCATCAACCTTCGGGGTTTGACACAACTATACCCAACTATACTCAACGAAGGGAACAAATCACCCAACTACACCCAACTTCGAGCCAACCACGAAAAGCGCCGCCACAAAATCAAGAAACGCCGTACGGTAAAAGGCAACTTCTTTGGAAAAGTGCCTCATAGGAAGATCTAGGTATCACATAGTGCTGCAGTTTAACCAGAACATACCAGAACCACAATGCCTGCCTCAGCAAAAGCGCTTCCAATCTCCCTTGATCCACCCTGAAGGGAGTTGACGTGGCACATTCGGGAATGAAAGGAATGCTAAAACTCAAAAAAGAAGTCTCTAGCTTACAAACAACATGGATTTCAATCGACTTTCTATTGATGGTGTTGGGGAAGGAGTGATGGTTTCCTGATGGTTTCCTGGGTGGTCTCACAGGTGCTCAGGTGTCTCACGTTGCAGTTCCCAGTGAATCCCAGGTGCACAAGCAAACTTGGACTGTGAGGCATGCACTATGCCTTCTTCTCTCTGGAATCATCATGGAGGATGGAGAAAAACACACCGGTTTGGTCTTCAAATGATTCCTCCAAGATCGAGGCCCTGCCATCCACTATGAAAAATCCAGTGAGTATTAGCTGGTGGTCCTGATTCCCGCGGAGTCTTTGGAACCCTGCGAGCAAACGATGCTGGAAAAGAGCCGAATCCTTTCAGTGGGCGACTGTTTTGTGATGCGTGGGATAACTCCATGAGAGAGATACAGGAAACTACAATTGGTGGGTTCCCACGATGTCAATTTGTCTCTATATATACTTCTCCTGTCTACTTTCTCCAATATGGTCAAAGTTGCCTAGATTTTGAGGCTGGGATTGATCATGTCTGAAGATGTTCAGGGTGTTGGTCCTTGAATCCAATGTTACTACTAGTAAGGCACCTGTTACTAGTAGCGTGGCACTTGTTACTACTTGAATCCAAGGTAGCTGAAACTGTGGTATCTTGAAACTGAGTTATCCGTTATCCCCATCTGCGACCTGGTCGCCTCAGGTCGCTTGGCGGCTGTGAACCACCCATTGGAGAAGTTTAACTGTAAAAGACTGCCAACACAAGCTGAATGCCTTCTGATGCAAAAACTCCGTGGCCTTGACATGCTGCTGCTCAACGAAGCAAGAAGTTTGAAAAAAAAAAAAAAAACATTCTACCACGTCCTTTCTTGCTCCTCGCAGGACACCGAAGCCCCTGGGCCCAGTTGATGGTGATGGTTAGGTTGCAGGCCTTTCTCTAAACCAGTGATCATTGTGTATACCAACTTTTACAGGTGGGACACCCCACAAAAAGAATACGTGTCTTAGAAACTGGGCTCAAGAGCCGAGGCACAAGTCTTGCAGTTGGCTCATCCCATGCAGCATGCGCCAGCGCAGCTGCAGCTGGACCTGGAGCTGCACGGGGCTGCTCTGAGGTGCAAAGGAGCTGCTCCGGGTCCAAAGGTGGAGATTAGCCGCTCCAAAGGAGCAGCGCTAGAGATATCCAAAGCATTGTGATCAAACATAGCATGTCAACATGCTTTTGTGATGCTTCTGGATAGAAATCTTGGGCTGACAAGCTGGGGGGGGGTCAACTGGAGATGTTTTTTTCATGTTGTAGTGATGTGGATAGTCATATTCTTCTTTTGACCCCTCCAAGACTCCGGCGCTCCCGAAAAACCGAAAGAACCCGCTGCGACCTATATCACACCACAAGAACGAGAGGTTCTTACCACTGGACCAGCATGACCACCCTATACCGAGTACATCGAAACATCAGACTTCGCAAATTCCCAAAGCATCTGTATAGATGAAGAAACAAAAGGGACACCACATCGGATGTGCATCTTCATCACCCTGCATCTTCACAACGAACCGCTGCACGAATTACTCACATCTGCTCACCTCCCGAGCGTTTTGGCAGCTGGTGCCCACGGCTCTGAGGTGCAACTGCTCGGAGCGCAGCAGGCGCCATGCATCGTAGAGACGGCTCATCCACAGCTGCTCCTCCGCCGCGAGCCTCGGTGTTCGCGCCGAAGTTTCGGCGCCGCGATCCGCGATCCGTCCGGTGTCCATCGGTGTCCATCGTGGGGACACCCCACGGTGTCCCACCACGGTTCCAGTTCCTGGTCTGGTGGTAAATTCTGGAGTCATGGGTTGAAAAAGAGCGAAAAAAGGGTGGAAGGAAAGCGACATGATGAATCACTCGAGGCGTCGGCGGCGGGTGTTGGTAACGGCGATTTCCAGTTGCCGCTCGTTTCGTCCGACCGCGGCTCCGGCGTTTCCACAGAGAACTCCTCACCCAAGGGGCCTCTGCTCCACCATGGCGCCAGCAGCCCGACGGCCGTGCAACAAGTGACAATGCAGGCGCCAGCGGCCCAGCAGCAGCAAGAGACGTTGGACGTCCAAAGCCTTCTGGACGAGTGGACAGGGTGGTGAAATGTACAGTCAAATGGCAAAAAGTAACAAGCACATGATATAATCACACTTGTTACGCTAACTAAAGACCTCACTATTTTGTCTCTCACATCACCACCCCACACCCCACACCCCACACCCCACACCCAGCCGAGCTGCTGGAATCAGCTTCTCCCTGCAGAGCTGCGCGTTCCGTGCGCGGAGCTGCTGCCGACCGCGCAGCGCCTCGGTGCCGCGCAGCGCCTCGGTGGACGACGTGTCGGTCCGTCTGGTCGCCAAAGAGCTGGCGACCAGGTCGGACCCATGGCACAAGGATCTCCCGGCCTCATTTCTTGCTCCGTTCGTAGCTTCTAGCGCCCCTAATTTGTAGTAAATGGAGGACCTACTCACGATGGCCGAACAAAGCTAGAAGCCTTTGTTACTAATGGCTTCATGTGGCTTCTAGCTACGTACTAGTAGCTGCTGCCAAGGCACTACTTGATGCCACAGCTCCAGAAGTTGTGCCTCAAGCGGTGCCGTCTTGTTTTCAGGGTGATGCCAAGCATCGACCAGTCGTTGGAGCTGTCAGTAGATAGTTTCGTGACTCCGTGTTGTTGCAAAATGTTCAAGTTCCTCAAGCTCAAGTCAAGCTCCTCGATTTTTAGGGCTCTCTGAGTACTATGGCTGTTGTCAATTTGCACCCCATATAACCTATACACTCGAACGTTTCATGCTTCAACGTCAGTCTGGTGCACTGTCAGTCTGGGTAGGAGCCGTCCGTGTTTTTCAGATGAGGATGCTGGTTTCTAATGAACTTCTCCAGTCCCAATGATCACAATATTCATTTAAAAATATCCAAAAGGTACATATACTTTATATATAAAGAAAATGAACACAACATGAACATGGTCCCACACCTTGGTTACATTCTTTCACAATTGAAACCACGGTTTTTGGTTTTCTTTCCCCCTTCCGACCAAATCTCTTCCACCGCGACCGACCTTAAAACGTTTCACGCCTGAAAGGCCCCACGGCCGGGATCCGTGAGACCCTGCACCCCGCGCAGCTGCCACAGCGTCAGCGCCTGGAGGAAACCCGAGTAGATGTCATTGTGTGTGTGGTGAGGTGCGAACCCTGAAAGCTCCAAATACATCCTTTTCAAGTGCATCATTTGGGTAAAAGAGACTGTTAAAGCTTCATATACAGCTGCTGTTCCCAGAAACCAGGACCTTCCAAGTGGGAATGGAAGAGAGCTCGAGTCAAAAAGAAACACCGGTGCGCCACCGTTTCCGACACGTCGTTTCTGGGGTCCAAAAGGACCTCAACGATCAAAAGGGGAAGGGTCACAATCCAAATTAATTGGAGCTAGATTAGGCCACCCATCACCAGATGGGAAGGACCCCAGGATACAGTAGATTCTATCGTCCTCCTTCTCCAGATGTGCCCTATGGTCCTAGTTGTTTTTCCACCACCTTCCCACCCGAAGCGCGCAGTGCACTGTGCTGTCCATGACAGGTCGTCACCTGCAGGCCAATGCGTGCGCCAGCGGAGCGCTTCCGGCGAAGGCTGCCACACTTCAGCGCTTGGACATGCCAGGCACAAACGCAATGCAGCAAAGCGAATCTGGCAAGGCGTCACTTGGCCCAGTGAATCCGCGGGAAAAAACATCACCGAAAGGGGATTCAGATGGATTGACCGGCCCATGAGAAAGATATTGAAACAAGTAAGCAAAAAAGAAACCATCGTCCCAATGGATGAGAACCACGCAACCCTTGCACCAGTGAAAGAATCCACAATTCATATCTACTCATCCGGTGTTCATCTGATATATTCATCTGAACATCACCTAGCCAGAGCTGATGACTTTCAGATCCGCAAGGAGGTTCCTGATGACACTGTTTGCCGAACTCAGGTCAATTCAGAGTTTCCTTTACAATCTTTCGCGATGATTGTGAGAACCTACGAGACATCATACTTCCTAGGTCCTAGCAAAGTGACCACCTTGCCTTTGCTCATTGTAGAGCCTCGAAAGAGTAAACTTTCACCACCCGCTGGATGAGATACCGCCAAGCACTGCCCGGTCTTATTGGACTCAACCGCATTTAGCCAATGTGACAAGCAGAATTCTCAAAGCTTTTCTTAGCCAGGGCCTATGCCAATTGAAGATCTGGGGCTAATTAAAGCGCGATATCCGGCAGTAGGAATGGTAGATAAGGAGGATGAAGTTCGAGGTGAACCGAATGGTCGAGCCAGGAAGTGGCCACGTTGAGAGGGCGGCAGTTGATGTTGTCCAGGGATATGAAGGGGGTTGTGTCAGCCATCCATTTGGTTCATGGTGCACATGTGATACGGGGTGTCATGGTAGAAGTCCAGATGTTTTTTTTAAAGATGATTGAAGCTGAGTTTGAGTTTCGGTCGGTGATTTGAGGGTGCCAACATCACATGTGTGTCAAAGGACTCATTACCGGATGCAACAGCTTACCCTGTCAGACAGTACAGATCTTGAGAGAGACCCATTGCAGTTGGAGAAGGTGTTCTGAATGTCAGAGTTCTTCAACCAACTCGTGTTGAACGATGTCTTTCCCAGTCTGTTTGAGTCAGTTGACAGATCGAGGGAATAGCTTTCGTTGGCGCGTGTGTCAGTGTTTCAAGCCTGGGGTGATCAAAATGGAAGTTGGTTCGAATAACACCACGAGGGCCAAGGAAATCCGCTCGGTGTGGAATGACTTCGCGGCAGAGAAGGTTCGAGCCAGATCAGTGTGAGCATGCAGCAAAAATGTCGACGTGTACAGATCCGCATCAGCAGAATCACAATGTTCCAGGACAGTTTTTCCATGTCAACTAAGCTGAATCAGAGATTGTCACCAGTTTGAGATCTCATGTGTTTCAAATGTCAGTCCAGATGTGTATTACCTGATAAAATGCAATTTCGAACACGATATCGGAATTAGCTTTCGTATTCATTCAAGTTCAACTAAGTTGAAGGTTCGATCACCACTGTGTTTCATGCGGTTGGTAGCCATTTCCACTCGACTACTGCCTTGGAGGGTGTCTCGGGATCGAACAGGTTCGTTGCCAGGAGATCAGCCGGTATTAGAGCGCTGCCAAGACCTACCGGTGTTCGAACCGTACAGCGGAACCCATATGTGGTTGAACCAGATGCTGCAGTAGCCGATGCATTGTTGGAGCAAGAAGATCCAAGGGGGTCAAGAGTTGAAATCCCTATTGGGCAAGTCAGTTCTGCGGGGCGTCTTATGTTTCTGAAAGACCCAGTGCTTCTGAACAGTCCAGTGCCTCGAAGGCAATTCGAAGATTGAAGGCTGAGTCATGTGTGGCAGCACCTGCGAGGGCACGAACTCGGTTGGTCGAAGATTGGAACGGATTTGTCCATTTTGAGCATTACACCTATCTGCTCCATGATTTTCCGAGAGTGGTCAATGGACTTCAGCTCCATGGTGATTGGTCTCCCAGAGGATCAGATGCACCACGGCTTGCGCACATGTGCGAGTACAAGCAATCGATATACATGGAGCATTTTTCAGCGTGTGCCCATTGTATGCCTCCGAGAGGTGTGTGGGTACCTTGACTTTTGCTTGGCAGATCGTTGTTTGAGAGCCACTTGAGGCGGAGGCGGCTGATACAGAAGTGTTTCAAGTTTTTGTTTGCTGAGATCCACAAGTCCTGGTCCTAGTTTGTTGATTGATTGCAAGATGCATTGTCGGTCATTGGAGTGCAGATTTAGATGTTCCGATGTGCTTGTGGCTTGTGGATAAAGTTCGCTTTTTGGGTTTTTGGATGTGACCCATTCAGCATGGGGGGGTGAAGCTCCATCCGTGCTGGATGATGTACGCTTCTTTGTATGCTGAACAGTGTTGCATGGCATCAGTACAACCATAAGTACTCCACCAAGAGCTTACCTCAGACAGGAATGGACGGATCATCCAGTGTATATCACAGATCCACAGGTCCATTGACCGAAACCAGGTCAATCGGGTATGCACTTCGTTACTTTGGCTCAAGTGGAAACAGAGCGTGAGCGAGTACAAATGCTCTTCACGGAGCCCTAAACCCTGGTAGGTTGACCCAGCTGGTAGTCTATTCAGTGCATGTTCGGTGGGAAAGATCAGGGTCCCCGGTGTCATGACGCACAGCCACATCTCCAAATGAGAGATTCTATACACATATATATATATATTATCAACCATCTGAAAGGATGTCTTACAGGGGTTTCAGAGTAGATGGCGCAACCCCCTATGTGTTTTTCAGATGGAGCTCCATATAAACCACCAGACATTGGGGGTCCAACAGTGTCATCGAACCTCGGTTAAACCACTATGATATGGTGTAAACTGGATGCTTCCACCGGCCCGGGCCAAGTGCCCCAAGAAGTGCCTCTCCAGCTCCAAGTCCTTCCGCTCGCGGCGCTGCTCGCTCTGCCGGCGCCGCGCCAGGTGCTGCTGGCGGTGCCGCGCCAAGTTGTGCCAACCCAAGAAGGCCGAACCCAACAAGGCCTGGCACCAGTGAAAGGGTGGGTTGAAGGGTGGTTTAAGAAGGATTAAGAAGGTTTGAGAAGGGTGGGTTTGTTTTGTTTGGAAGGAGGTGGCTTGATTCACTTCATGCATCTCGTCTGAATTTGGGAAGCCCACATTGTTGATGAGAAGTGAAGGACAAACAGGTCCACTGAACCATATCTTGCCCTTTATCAGCACAAGGAACATCACTAATAGCCCTGTACAGTGGTCCGAGAATAGATCGGAACAACATGGGGTGTCTATCAATAATAGCCCCTTAGCGCCCTTAGAGGTTGAGGAGTGTCCATTAACCACTCCTTATGGGGCCTAGAAGCTGCTGCCGTTTCTGCCTTTCCTGGTGGCCACCAACGAATCAGTCCGGACTTTGGTCCTCCCAGGCATTTTCCAGCCTCACTCGAGCTTCGAAAGGCTTGCCTCACAGCGGAAAAAAGGGCAAATCCGGTGGGCATGGCTTGTGAAAATGAAGATCTGGTCACAAAAAGAATATTGGCTGAATTTGGCGGACATTCTGCTGTCTACAGCAAGTGCTTGTTGGCCAAGATTGGAGACCGAGCATGCTCAGTCCTTCAGAATTTGCACCCCAAATCCCATCCCTGAAGGTCATCACACCCGGCCTTCAGTGGACCTGGGGACGACTGGTGAACTGCCCTTTTCCATCCTTTTCCCTATGTCCGACGTCTCAGACATCCAGTTGGCCCCTCTGGGCCCCTCCAACACACACCCCACGAGCTCCTTTCGCCTGGGTTTGGAACCACCAAACCCACCGGGCCCGTCCGATCGGACACCGCGAGTTCGGCCTCATGACTTGCAGCTTCTGCTCATGGGCCTCCTTCTTCCGCTCCTCCGCCTGCGCGGTAGGGGTCCGGACACCGCGGAGTGGCGTAAGTTCTCGGTGTGAACATGTTGAAACATGTTGGAACCGGGGCGATTGAACTGTAACTCCTTTGGACTCGACACTCCCATGACGCATGAAGAAAGGCCGCAACACACCTTTATCTGAGATGTTGGACTTGTCGTGGATTACAGGTCCAATACATTGCGAGTTGTGTGGGAAGGGGGGGTGGTGCTAACAGCATGATTGGTCGATGGCCACGAAATCACCGCTGACACCTGTGCACAACCGCACGCGGCCGCTTCATCGTGGCTGTTCCACGATCCTTTGTGTTTCTCTTGCGGGTGCTACTTAGCGTTCTTGTTCCTAGTAGTGCCAGGAGCTACTACTAGCTTCTTGCTCCGTTCGTAGCGATGCCCTTTGTTCCTAGTAGCTTCTTGCTCCTAGTAGTAATGCCAGGAATTCGGAACCCCTAGTAGTTTCTTGTTCCTTGCAGCGACGCCAGCAGCCCCTAGTAGTTCTTCTCCAAACCCAATTGTCGGTGTCTTCGTCCCTTCAGCGACGTGTCGAGTCCGGAAAACCGTGCCGACAAACCATGTCAGGGCAGGGAAACACGTTTTTCTTGGAACATGGAGGCTGAGCACTAGGCTGAGAGCACAGCCTAGCACAGCCTAGCCTAACTGTCAGGTCACTAGGCTGAGCTTCTTCGAGCTGTTCCCCAAAAAGGTTGCTTATCCACTGACTGGACTGGGGTGGGGACTTGTCCCAAAGGGCTGTGGCACTGGCCGGGCACTCCACTGGTCACAGCGTCCCCAAAGACAACATCCTGGCCCCTTGACCATCTATCAGGAGAGCCCAAATGGGTTAATGTGACCAAAGAACCTCAGTGGCTACTGAGACTGACAGGAGCTAGCACCTCTGCATTTGCACCTATTTGTTGTGAGGAACAATATATAGTCTTCTCGTTAGGTACGACATGGGATGTGACATTGGCACCCGCACCTCCTGTTCAGCCGCCCGATGAAGCGCATCCTGTGGGCGACAACATCGACCATCAACTATATATATTATATATATTCAGTATATATTTGTATTGTTTTTTTGCGGTGGAGACGATCTAATTCAAGTAATCAAAAAGATCTACAATGACCGCAACAACAAAACCCACTCACTGACTGCTGCGAGGAAAACAAGAAAACCCATCCTGCACCACCCGAAGCACGGCCATTGGGTTCTATAAATAACCACTTGAACAATCTCGAACTGGGTTGTGCTGAATAATGCTGGGTTCTAACGAAAAACGCTCACTCTGTTGAACCTATGGGGAAACGGAGCCACCTAGACCTAGCCACCTTGCAAACGTTCTCATCAAAGGTCTTAACGAAGCGTTCATACCAGGTCTATGCCTAGCAAGTTTGCCAGAAAGCATCTAGCTGGTCCGATATTGGGCTTTGGAGGCGTACAGTAGCAATTGCAGGAAACAAATATGAACTAACAAAATAAAATTGGTTGAACGATAAATATCATATCGATATAATATACTATATGGACGAAGTAGGAGTAGGTGGCAACAACCAAGTTCAACTTAACAAGGATCGGGATGATTTGGCCCTTTGCTGGTTATCAACACAGATGCGTGTATATGGCGTGTGTGGTGGCAGTTCCCTCCACCTCAGCAGCTAGGTCAACACAAATGCACATCTACGAGCACCGTAGCCATTTTGGTTCAAGGTACACATTGAGTAGGTCTTTTTATGTCTTTTTGCCCTACGACTCCAGGCTAGTGTTCGTTTGCAAACTGAGAGCATGTCAGATTCAAGTAGTTCTTTTTGAGGTGAGATGCAGCTGTGCTGAATGACTCTTATAATTGCTCTTAGATGTTCATCTCTTTCTTTACAAATGACACAAACACTCAATTACCTATATTTCAAACACTCAAAACACTGGACCAGTCTATATTTCAAACACCCACAAACCAAGTCCATCCAAGGTACCTCCAAGGTAGCCCTTTGCTGCGGCCAAAGCGTTGCACTGCCCAAGCCCCCGTTTGACATCAAACACGGTGAAACATAGATGGACCATCATGCTGGCCTCCCTCATGTTCCCTGGAAACAAGTGAAACCTTTTTCCACCTGTTCTCACTCCCCAAAAAACCATCCAAAGGCAAACCTAACATTCTGGGCATGGAACTGAAGACCTGCCACGACACGCTGGCACCTGGCCCTGCCACGCCCTGCGCTGGTGCCAAGCGGCGTGCCGCGCGTGGTGCAAGGCATTTCGCCACTCGTAGAAGCTGCGGGATCTGCCAGCGGCACCGGCAGTCGGATCCGGAGGGCTCCGACTTGGGGGACTGTGGCCCGAGTGGCTACGTATATATCCCGGGCTGACGATACTGATCATCAATTGACCTGAAGCTCAAGCAGTGGTTTTGGATCTCAGCATGTCTCTGTCTATATTTGTGTGGTCGTTTGGCCATCTCTGACAGCCACACATCCCCTCAGTATCTCAACCAAATAATCTCCAGCTGGCTGCGCCCGCTGGATGCGCCCCTCCGGCGCCTCAGCATCTCGTCATCCAAGAGGAGTTGGCCAAAAGTCCGGGTGATGATCTTCTCCTGGCCCCGGGGGCTAGTATCCAGGGCATCGCAACTAGTAGCTAGAGCACTACTACTACTACTACTACTACTACTACTACTACTACTACTACTACTACTA